TTTTTAAATTGAATTATTTAATTGTAAAAACAATTTTTATGAAATATAATATATTTTATATTAATAAATAATTTTATATTAAAAAATAAAAGTATCTGTGTCGAGATACATTTAAGATATATTGTATTTAAAACATCTGTATCTAGACACATTTTATTTTTATAATATCTGCACCCCTATACCTCGATATATTTTTTTAGAATATATTTTACCTGTACTATGCACTGAGAAGTGTTTTGAAATGTTGTTATAGTTAAGCGTGAGCAGACAGCGCAAAGATCTGTTATATTAAAGATCTTTTAGTCCGATTTCCGACAGAATCGAAAATTTTCGTACGCTCGTAGCTTTTCTCGGAAGTAGTATGTATACTTGCCCAGGAAATATTTACCAAAAATTGTGTCGTTTGGAATCGGTATAGGTATAGATTACCGTTATAAAGCGTTTACTAGTAAGGATACTATATGATGTTTTAAATCATTTCATCCTTGGCAAACAACATGCTTGTAATAATTGAAAATGTTATATAGTGCCCTTGCTAGTAAACGCTCTATAATAGTCATCTTTAAGTGCTATACGCTGTCTTTAAGTGCTAGCGCGTAGGCGCCTCTCTCTCATATACCTGTAGGCGCACACTGATCATACACAAGATATATGAAGATTTACAGTTTAAACGCCCATTCCAAACGGCAATTTTTGGTAGGGAGGTTTCCTGGGCAAGAATATACTACATAATATCAATGCATAATAACAAACATTATTTTGAGCATTAAAAAAGGGAACATTAAAAAAGAGAAATAGACAATCACGTTAAAGTAAGATTATTCATGTACACTGTTAAGCACCATTATTATTGAATCTCTAATTTGATATTATGTGAAGTAAATTATTAAGAAGAAAATAAAATATCTTATTAATTATTAGATTTACGGTTAATATATTTTTATTCATCAAAATTGGTATTATTTCAAATTTTATTTATCGATAAAATGTGTTTTATAAAAAAATTGTTATATAAGAAATTTGCATGGTTTCGAGCATATCATGTAGTACATTTTTAAAATATATTTTTTCAATTTTTTAAATATATTTTTGTATGTATGAAGTATTGGAGATTTGAAAGTTGATATTGTTTTTTAGATGAAACATTGTAAAAACAACTCTTCCAAAGATTTTATAAATGAAAAAATTTTTGTAAATAAGCGAAGAGTTTTTTAAATAAAATATCATATTTTTAAAATAAAGAAAATATTTTTTAAATTAAAATAAGTATTTTTCTTATTAAAATACGAAAAAGTGTCGACTTCTGGTTAAAAATATTTAATCTGTCTCTTAATCTCTAACACATTAATCTGGCTCTAAATAATAGTTAACAAGATATTTTATTTTATTTCTGGAAAATTTGCTTCATGTAACTTGATCTTGACAGTTTTATTGGAAATATATCATGCACTAAACGTCTAAATATACATAAATATAATCCCAACATGATGATTATTCTATGCATTACGTGTGAGAATCAAAGAAAGCATTGCAAACATAATTGATCGATCAATAATGGTGGAGAATTCCTATGAATTCCTGCCGTATTTTAAATTTAATTTCTGTTCACATTAAATAAATATATTAAAAAATGCTATAAATCATTAACAATATCAAAGTATATAAAGTAAAGAATTCTTGAGATTTGCATTAGATCAGAAATAATTTACAGTACTGTTTTTTTGTTATAATTACTAGATTTACTAGATTAAGATAGTTTTTTAGTAAAGTGTCAAAAATTTGGAATGTCTCATCAGGGCCCATTCAAAATTACAAATAATTTAGATAAAATATCTGCATAATTTAGATAAAATAAAATAGATTTTAGATAATATTAAAAATCCGTATATCTTAATAAAATAATATGGAATATGTGATAGTAAATCAAGAGCTGCATTCTTCATTGAACGAAAAAAAGATGAGATTATGGTTATTTTTCGAGGTTAAATTTATATGCAAATTTATGTACGTGAATATCTGTCTAGAATGGCTGATGATCTGTCACTTTTTGTGATCATTAAAATCGTAATTTTTGAAATTATTATAATCTCATTTTTGAGAAAAATCTATGGTAAGATTTGTGTGCACTTAGTCAAAAAAGCATCTGTGAGTCATTAAGTAAGTTATGAAAAGTTATATTTTCAATTTTTTTCTTTCTTATTTCATCATTAACTTATCGTAGAATTTTGCATACATCAATTTCGGTATTTTGATTTCATTATATAAAAAAATTAGACATTTCTATGGTAACTCGATTTACTAAAGAATCACTTTAAATATTGTAATATCAATATTGATAAAATTTTGAGCACCTACGTTAAAAAAGAGAAATAGACAATCGCGTTAAAGTAAGATTATTTGTATATACTGTTAAGCACCGTTATTTTGAATTTCCAATTTGTTATTATTATACATGAAGTAAATTATCAAGAAGAGAATAAAATATCTCATTAACTATTAGATTTAGGAATAATAGCCTTAAAATAAAAGATTAATACATTTTCACTCAAAATTGGTATTCTTTCAAATTTTAACATAATAAATTTAAAAATAAATATTATTAAAGAATTCAATAATTCGATGCATAGTTTAATGATTTTTTAAAATGATGATTATTTGAACTTTCATACTAATTAAAATGTGAAATTGCTTGTGAAAATTATTAAATATATTTTCTAACATTAATAATAGTTCAAATAAATTTTTTCATGGAAACGACTGCTTTTGCTGAGATTTTAAATGTACACAGCATAAATCAAAATGATTAGTTTTTGTATAAATAATGTTCATATTTAAATTTATAAATATATATTTTGTTAGAACTGTGCTGATAAAATTATACTGATTAAACATTATTCTATAGAATATTTAATTCATTTAATTTTGTATCCATTCTTTACAAAATAACGATTATTTACTTTTTGCAACTTTTATCATCTTATACATCAATAAATTTCTAACAATTAGTCAATTTTTAAACAATAATGAAATTCTCTAATGGTTAAACATCTAAAGACAAAAAATATACTGATATTAATTTATATAATATTGATACATTATAATTTTCATACATTAAATACAAATTTAAAAAATACATTAAAGTTTTGTGTCAGCTCTTATTGGCGTGATTATTTGATTAATGATTTGATCAGAACCTATAACTTATTATATTCTATAATATTGATTTGTTTAAGAATTGTTAATATGCATATATGGTAAAAAAATATCATTGACTTTAATTTAATCATATACTCGTAATTCATAACACATAAATCATATTTTGTTAATTCATTCAATAATTAAAAACTGATAATATAAATACTATGTGCAGGTCAGATCCTGGAGCAAGAGATGGTTCACGCATATTTTTTTATTCGTTGTTATACTTCTGTATAGCATCATTGGGGCGATAATTTTCGTAGCGGTTGAAGGATCGGTCGAAAAAGTTGCTGTTTCGAACATTCGGCAAAAAAGGTATGTTCGGAAATAAAAAGTTAAATTATCCAGAAAAGATATAAATAGATATCAAAAGCTTGTTACACATTTATTTGATATTATAATAAGATACTTGTTAATTGCTCTTTCATCTATTTAATATAAACTATCTAACACTGTAAAATATTATTAAGACAACCCTTAAAATTAAGATTTATGTTGATCACGAATTAGCAGAGCACTTTCACAAATTTTTTGGTCATTATAAATAAGATCTATTATTTATTTCTTCATTAAAAGTGTTTGTTGAATACGTTCCAAGGATGTGATGAATACGTATCGCGAAAAATCGTTGATTATTTCAGAAAAATGCGAGAGTAAATCAAGAAATCAAGCAAATCCTCTCATAAACAAAAAAAAAAAGAAAACGCTACGTATAATATGATTTTAACATATATTAATGATCTGTTAGTTAGCTCCCGCATGTAATTAAATGATTAATATACGTGGATCCTGATCTAATTCTTATCTGTTTGTGTAATATGCGAATTGATCAATGCGATACTGCGTTTTCAATACAAACTCATTGTCGATAATGTCAATTCTGGCCTCCACCTAGTCTTGCTAATGTTGCGCGTCGAGTATACAGCGCAACAATTGTTAATCATACTAACCGATATTGGATTTCACGATTGATCGTACAATATTGTTCGCTGAGTTGTTTTAATGCCACCTATTTTCGACTCTATTGTGCGATTTCTACATCCCTTACAATATTCATTTTTTAAAAGAGCAATATCGTTTTTAAAAGATGTTATATTTTCATTTCATTGTACATTTATTTCACATTAGCTATTCAATTGATGAAATGAATGATGAAATTAATACACTAATGAGTGAGTATTTTTTCTTTTTTACGACTTAATCTCTACAGAAATGGCCAATTTAATATATTAAAAAATAAAAATTAATTACTTATTTTAAGTATTAAAAGACACTGATGTTCAATATTTTTAGTAATTAATTTTCTTTCAATAATAAATTGGCTAATATCAAATTAGCCAGTATTATATTTCATTAAAAGTAGCTCGAAAAATAATTGCAATAATTGTTTTGTCTCTCTGAGAAATATACTATGCGAAAAATGTATTTTCTCCGTAAAAGATATTATAAACGTAATAGTAATTTTAAAGCTGCAGAATTTCCACATAAATATTGCTAAATATGATATTACGACACTCTTTTGCGTCTTCATCATGATGAAGATCACGAGCACGTCTCATGCTTTTCTTTGATTGTGATTTTCTTCGCGATTTTCTAGCGATCGATTGGCTTCAGGACAAAGACCGGTGAAGTTTTGACGGCTATTCTTATTCATATGAGATTAGTTTCGCATGTCAGGTGCGATAAGATAAGATGGATTAAATGCTCATTTATCGTACATTTATAGGCACATAGTATTTAGACTGATTGTGAGAACATTAAAGGTAATAAGATTGTCTAGATTATTCCTGCTTTATGAAGGTCGTTTCGATTATAGTTGGAAAAAATCACAGTCAGCATATAAATAAAGATAGCACATAAGTAAAGATGCTTTATATAATTGCGTGTCGGCAAAATATTGCACTATTAACAGGTGTATTCCTATTAGCCCAAATTTAATGTAATTCAAAGCGCTCGCACGATTATTTATTCGGAAATAGATTTCTTGATATTAATGATTATAACATGCGTATCTTTCTCCGGTATCTTCATTTGATTGATTAGAAGTTTCGTCTGAAATTAACTCTCGAAATCAAGGAGTGGCTGAGGATTTCGTTTCCTTCAGCTAATAGAATGTCATTATATAAGATTTGTAGAACTCTCTCTCTTTTATTAAGCTGACGCGCCTCATATTTGTGAAATATCAGTCTAATTTAGTACATATTGAGAGTATTTAATTAATGTCATCTTCGTGACTTTCCCCTGAATTCCTCCTCAAAGATTTACTCTGCCAACGAAAGTTTATTTTGATTCTAATGGAAAAAGTGCTGAATATTGGTAAAGTTTATGCCGTGGAGACATTTATTTCTTGAATTTTATAAAAATTGTGGAAGTGACACGTGTCACTAAGGGTTTCATCCACGATCTTATAAAGATTTTTGTATTCTATGAAATGTCTTAGTGAATTGGCTCAAGTTAGTCGCTTACATATAAAAGAAAAACTTGACATTTTTTCATAACTTATTTGTCATCATACGAATAAAAATAATAAATTTTCGCACATCGGCCAGTATTCATAGTCGATTTTTATTTTAAGACCATAATGTCTTAATCTAAATAATGTCTTAAGATGTTCATATAACCCTCCGATTGGCTTATGATAAGACTGTACTTAAGACTGTATTTAAGACAACCTAAATAAAAGAATCGACTATGAATCGGCCATCATGAATGTTTTCGATCGTAGAAATGATACGGTCGAGGCAATTCGTGGATTATGCGGAGACTCGGTGTTGGCATCAGATATGTCTCGTTGGAGAGGAGCAGCGGTGAGAGAGCTGATGCAGTACGAGAAAGATCTGTATGAGTACTTCAATCGGGAATTAAAAGACAAAGGCGAGGAAGTATGGACGTTTTGGAATGCTGTGTTCTACTGTGGCACCATTTATACGACCATAGGTGAGTACAATAGCCGCATTCGTTTCTTGCCACTTTTAACATCCCTGATTTTAGCAGAATTAAAGCAGCATCTACAATGAAATTTTAAGGCGTGAATTTGGAGCTTTAAATAAATTGTAAGAACTTAACCAATCACAGTCGAAAAAAAGAATAATCAACTATAATCGATTAATTTTTTTATTGCTTATAGCTTAAGTTTTATACCTTAAAATCTTATTATAGATGCCGTTTAACGCGACATAAAATTTTATAAAACATTTTAAAATTTATAAGTGTACACAAAAAAGAAAAAAAAATGATAATTGAAAATAATTAATTCAATAACCATATTAATAAAATAAATATTTTATTAAAACAAGAGCATATATATTTCATTAATATTGTTATTGAATTAAAAATATTATTTTCAATTAGATTACTATTAGCTAATTGCTATTAATACAACAATATTTTTTCCATGTGGTCCCTTATTTTAATTAATAAAACAATTCTGGTATTACATTTATATGCGATATCACTAATATTATTTCTCTATTAAAGAGAATTTATTTTTTTAAAATTAGAGAGAACACGTTTTTTAAAATATACTCAACACGTGAGAATGATTATTTTCTTTGGAAAGAAAGGTAGACAAAAAACGAATTGGTGCTATTTATGCGTATCTGGAAATAGAGCAATTTTCGTATGAGGCACATATTTTTTCGTCAAAAGTAGAAAAGCCAAGTATCTTAAGAGAAATTTAATTATTATGATAAAATGCTTGATTCTGACAAAACATTTTACGACGGTGTTTTAACTTGTACCATCCCCGCTCTCATAAAGTTCGTGGAAGTTATTTTTATTTATGTGGCTTGATGACATTTAGTTTATTTATCTTGCGCAGCTTTCTCCTCGAGCGAGAAATCAAAAGCCAGCGGAGGAATAAAGCAGCGGGATGACACGTATATGCGTTATAATGTATTATATATATAATCAATATGTTGCATACGCGACGTGATTTCAAACTCAATTCTTGCATATTGCTTTGCATATAGGTTTATGTAGGTTGTGTTTCTGGTAATACAGATGCATGTGGTGTGAATGCAGATCTCTGTAGAATAATAAATAGATTTATCCCTTGTAGGTATAAGAATAAATAAAATAATTGTTATAAAATAGAATTTTTATTAATTTTATTAATTGTGTTAATAAAAAGCTCTTCTTCTTGTGCAACAATATTTTATGAAAACCAAAAAAGGAATTAGTGATCTTATTTATGATTTGAAGAATCTTATCTTCTTATTTCGTCAGATATTCGATTATTAGCATATTATATTAAGAACTAAGTTTGAAACATAATTGAAAACGAAAATAAGATGATAGTAATATTAAACTCACTCAATTACATTTTTATTACATCTGCAAATTTGAATTATTGAAATAAATTTATCAGTATTCATTTTTTTAAATACAAGTTATGTCATTTTGATTTTTTAAAAATTAATTAGTATTTTTCAATTAATAGGTTAAACGAGCTTTACAGATTCAAAATTAATAACGGTATCAGAATTACGTTACACATTTTAATGTCAGCTCCCAAAAGTTATATATGTAATGATCGATGTATTTTATAAATATTTACTATGTCATTAATTATTTTTCCATTTATAAATTATTTATTAAAAATTCAACATGCTATTCCAAAATATGATAAAATCACTTTCGCAGTTTTGTTTGTACAAAAAATTCACACTTTTTGTTTTACTGTGATACACGATGTACATACACGATGATCCAGTTTCCTAAGTGCTTTGTGTAATTTTTACGCTCTTGTGCGAAAATTGATACGTGCGTGTGGTCAATATATGACTCGCCAATATGTAATTCTGAGAAATTTTATTCGCTAATATATTGGCGTTTTGCGCATATAATATCTATCACTCTATTTGATACAGTATCGGCGATGATATTTCGTTAATAGTTTGATTTACGATTACAATGACATGAGAGATAATATAAAAAAGAAATTTACTGTAAAAAATAGATTTAAAATGAATAAAAAATAAAATGAAAAGAAAGATTCAGGAACTTCGTTATTGTTGCTTCTGCAGAATTATTTTCATACATTTATATAACTTTTCACACTGTGGAAAATATAATTTCCGAATTGTTTAAAAATCTAACTTATGATCTCGAACACAAGTGCAAAATAACTGCTAGGTTTCACGAGGAATCTCACAGATTATCTCGAAACATCGGTTTCTTCGTGTTTATTCAGACATATTCACACTATTTATACACGGACCGATTGCACGCTTGTACCTGCGTTAGATTATTTGGATTAAACGCTATGTGATACATGGACGACCAGATTAAAAGTTGAAAATAAAAAAATCAAATAAACTCTATGAAAAAAGAACTGATTCAAAATTTGTCGCAACATCTACGATCGTATGAGACATTGCAATGTTTCCACAAATGTATAATATGCGTTTACGTATATAAAGGTGTATATCCTATGCGTCTTTCTTGCTATCTCGGTTGTGAAAAACTTGGCGATTCGAACACTGCGCACATTCATGCGTTTTTTCTGTACGACTTTGTCGTGCCCACGCGTACTATTTCGAGTTCTGTCATTATATAATGGAAAAGAACTGAGTAAGATCGTAGGAGGACGTAGACGTGTATGTCATTTTTAAGTTCTTGACAGATGTAAAGTGCGAGAAATCTTCTGAAATCTTCTGATGTTATCTCGCTCGACTAAATTAAGCGCGCTTACTCAGTCGCAGTGTATTGTGATATCGAACGGAAAATGTCGCGCAAAATTACTATATCGAGATTTTTTGTGCAAGCCGATATCTGACTGGCAATTAAATGGAATCGTATGAACAAATGTTTGTACGATAATCATCGTTCTCTCTGGTAAACTTTAATTAAATCAGTGCGAAGAAGCGATGCCAAATATCCAAATTGGCAAATTTTCGAACTGACCGATATACGTTGATGCGTGTATGTATATAGATTTACTTACCATGACAAATTTTATTTATAATTGCATTTATTTATGACAATTTTTTTAAAATAAAAAGTGATAAATATTTTTTTTTAATAAATGAGAGAAATAGAGAGAATTTAATAATTAATAAGTTAATAACGTGAGAGTACATGAAAGAATTAATTTTCCTGCGAAATGACTTTGTCAATTTCAAATATATAAAATGAGACTTGAAAGAATCTATCAGTGAAAAATGTAAAAAAATCCATCAGAGCCTACATCAGCTGTTCGGATACACAGAAAATTCTTTATTTTCGTGTGACTGTAACAAAATAAATAAAATAAACGTTTCAACCCTTCGGATCTTTATCAATATAAAAAAAAAATATATATATATATAAATAGAAATTATATAAATAACACAAATTCCAAATGATGATTCCCGACAATTTAGTTCATTCTTCTTTATCCAAATGCCAAATTAGCTATGTAATAAATAGCCCAATGATTATCAAAAATATTAACTTATATGATAATATAAAAATTTACATAAAGTAAAACCGAAGTCATATACATTGCGTCACTAAGTAGAATTACATCGCTCATCAAATTTGTCAATTTCTATTATAAAAAATAAAAATGCATAATACATTTCAAGCTGCGTACAGACAATATGCAAATGCATGTTTTTCATCAAAACAATAATAAGTTCTTATCTAATTCATTCATGTTTCTATTTTGATTGCAGCGATGATAGTTATTAATATTGCACAACATTATTGCGATACTAATTTGAAGTAATGTTGATTATTTTGTTGTAACTTAGTAGATAAAAACACATTTCTGCGAATTATATTTTTGGTTCATAAATTATGTTCATTCACGAATTGTTAACGAGATGACAAGAAGTTCGCATATATCGAAGACTTTTTTACATTTAATCGAGACTTCTGTTATATATAAATAATTCAATTAATTTTTTATAAAAAAGTTTTTAATTATTATGATTTTAATATTATTTGAATGCAGTGTATAATTATCATTTTTATTTTTGTAAAGAATATGTGCATATTTGAGAGAGAGAGAGAGAGAGAGAGAGAGAGAGAGAGAGAACTGAAAAAATGATTTTAACTCTGTTATAAATATATAAAACAAGATGATATTATCTTGAAATCTATTTTTTATATTTATTTATCGAAAATTAAAAAAGTAAAATTATCAAAAATTTAAAGTAAAATGATTCTTTTTTAATTGATTTAAATATATAAAAATGACTGTTTTATAATTTCCTTTCTTCGCTGATTTCATTTCATTCAATTATTTCATTTGAATTAAATCGCGATTACTTGAGATAATAATTTAATTATATTTTACATTATAATTCTGTCTTGGCCGCATTTGTCGTTAATTTCTCTATAATCTCGTAAATTGTTCCTTTTGGATTTAATTGTTGCTAAAAGCATAATAGTTCAATTGTAATATCTACAAAATATGACATTAATTTCTTCTTCATATATGCTGTCGATATAATTATAAATATAATTTTAAAGCATTTATAAATACAGTATTACGCGGACATACACGTATTTGTTATTTAATCATAATTTTATCATAATTTAATTCTTGTAATTTTTTTATATTACTGACGTTAAAATATATATTTTTTTTTTCGAAGAAGTTTAACTTATTTGTTTAATATTATTCAAGTACGTTTTAATTATCTGTTATTTTTTTATTTCTTCACTTATTTCTTTTTTTATTTCTTCATTTTTATACTTAATTATTCATTAATTCGTCATTATTTTTAAATCATTATTTTTTAAAAATAAAATTTAAAAGATGTTTGATGTCGGACAATCGACGCAGATTTAAATAACTCCATTACAGAATTTTCGTTTTCTACGAGGTCATGGGGTTAAAGGGTCACCCGATTCGGATGGTGCAGTGCAACCTCCAAGCTGGGCGACCGAATGGGTTGCAGCGGTGCAGGCGCGGCGTCGCGACGCCAAAGCCACGATTTCGATTGCGCGTGATGCCCCCGCTCAATATCCGCTGCGGTGAAGCCGGTCATCCGGTTCCGCCGCAGTTGCTGGTAGCAGCAAACGTCACCGTGCCGACGGTGGTGGTGGCGGCAGATGGTGGGAGCAGCCTCCGTTTTATTTCTGTCACGGCCTCGTTGGGGCTGGCCTCGCGAGTGAGCTCCTGTCGCGAGAGTCTCTCTCGCGTACACGACGACCGTCGAACGACGACAACGACAGCGGCGACGACGAAGAGTCGCGCGATGGAAGACAGTTACATGGTTCATAGACGTCGTAAGGCGGCTGCCAGAAAACGTGAGAAAACTCCTGATCCCTCATCGAGGGGTGCTGCGTCGCGTATAGATGCTTCAGATGATGAGGATGAGGAGAGGCGCGCCAAAATGGAGAGGATGGCTGAGGAAGCGGAAAAAATGGAGCAGCAACAAAAAGAAAGTAGATTGTCACAACATCAAAAGCAGGAAGTGTTCTTGAAAGAATTAGATAATAAGGATAAGATGGAGAATGATCGGGAGCAGCGTCCGGTTAGAAGAAAGAATAAAACTGACGCGAGGAATTCTACGAACGTGGATGACATGATCGCTGTACGCACCGAGGTGACCCTCAAATCAACGGCTGGAAATACTTTGAAGACACGTGAAACTGACTCTGTAACAACTGACGACAACAGCACGCAACCGGTAAAACAGATCACCGAAGTAGCAAAGAAGTTTGATGATGATATCACAAAGAAGAATGTTATCAGACCTGAGATTGTTCAGGCAGTTAAAGATAGTGCTGTCCAAGAGACATCGGAGACACCGAAAGAAACAAACGGCGAGACCAGTAAACCTGTTGAAATTCGCAAGGTCGAAAGACGACTTAAAAGGAGATCGAAGGAACGCGTGGAGAAATATAGCCAGTCAACAGACTCCAGTGAAGAAAAGGATGAAAAGAATGAGTCTAGTCGAAGACGGACAAAGTCACCGGAAACAGTCAAGTCCAAGGTAAAAAAGACGAGTGGAAAGAATCGGATCAGTGATCCTGAAGTACAA